AATAGTTACAAACCACCTCTGGGTACATTTATTGAGTGGGTAAAATTTAAGGTTGCCAAAATTATTAGAAAACCTAACAATTGTTATAAATCTATGAAAAATGACTTCTGTAATTAATACGTTGCTTTTCAGGGTTGACTTTCTGGTTAATTATGAACAGGAGGTAAAACAACTGCACATTTATTTCTAGAACTGCGCTAACAGTGATGTGAAGAGGCAACTGGAGATTTTAAATCGCACCCCTGATAATGTCGTCTTATATCCAGACAAGAGTTAGAGTTTACAACGATTAATACCACATTAATATAAAAGGGGAACCGTGCCAAACCTGGATAAAGACATAACTTTATCCCCAGTTAACCCCAGATATCAATAAAGGTGGAAGGAAATCTTGAAAGCTTACAGTTAGAGAACTGCAACAAAGTGGGGCATCAATCTAAGCAGCAAAGACTTCATCTACACTCACCGGCCACTTTATTAGGTACCCCATGCTAGTAACGGGTTGGACCCCCTTTTGACTTCAGAACTGCCTCAATTCTTGGTGGCATAGATTCAACAAGGTGCTGGAAGCATTCCTCAGGGAGTTTGGTCCATATTGACATGATGGCATCACACAGTTGCAGCAGATTTGTCAGCTGCACATCCATGATGAAAATCTCCCGTTCCACCACATCCCAAAGATGCTCTATTGGATTGAGATCTGGTGACTGTGGAGGCCATTTGAGTACAGTGAACTCATTGTCATGTTCAAGAAACCAGTCTGAGATGATTCCAGCTTTATGACATGGCGCATTATCCTGCTGAAAGTAGCCATCAGAAGTTGGGTACATTGTGGTCATAAAGGGATGGACATGGTCAGCAACAATACTCAGGTAGGCTGTGGCGTTGCAACGATGCTCAATTGGTACCAAGGGGCCCAAAGAGTGCCAAGAAAATATTCCCCACACCATGACACCACCACCACCAGCCTGAACCGTTGATACAAGGCAGGATGGATCCATGCTTTCATGTTGTAGACGCCAAATTCTGACCCTACCATCCGAATGTCGCAGCAGAAATCGAGACTCATCAGACCAGGCAACGTTTTTCCAATCTTCTATTGTCCAATTTCGATGAGCTTGTGCAAATTGTAGCCTCAGTTTCCTGTTCTTAGCTGAAAGGAGTGGCACCCGGTGTGGTCTTCTGCTGCTGTAGCCCATCTGCCTCAAAGTTCCACGTACTGTGCGTTCAGAGATGCTCTTCTGCCCACCTTGGTTGTAACGGGTGGTTATTTGAGTCACTGTTGCCCTTCTATCAGCTCCAACCAGTCTGGCCATTCTCCTCTGACCTCTGGCATCAACAAGGCATTTCCGCCCACAGAACTGCCGCTCACTGGATGTTTTTTCTTTTTCGGACCATTCTCTGTAAACCCTAGAGATGGTTGTGCGTGAAAATCCCAGTAGATCAGCAGTTTCTGAAATACTCAGACCAGCCCTTCTGGCACCAACAATCATGCCACGTTCAAAGTCACTCAAATCACCTTTCTTCCCCATACTGATGCTCGGTTTGAACTGCAGGAGATTGTCTTGACCATGTCTACATGCCTGAATGCACTGAGTTGCTGCCATGTGATTGGCTGCTTAGAAATTAAGTGTTAACGAGCAGTTGGACAGGTGTACCTAATAAAGTCACCAATGTGACAAAAACAATCTAATTAGGTTTGTTTTAGACTAAAAAAGGGACTATTTCTAAAAGAATATCAAGCCTGCTGTTTGGTACGGAGGAGGATCTGTGATGATGTGGGCTTTTTAGAGAGAACATTCGGGAACGTAAAGAACATTATTAGAGAATTTCTGATCTTAAAGTTAAAAATAAACATCAGGTGATGAGTTGGTCAATGCATCTCTGTCAGCAATGGATTTACAAGATTCAATTTATCTTTTTTTTTTATCCATTTCTCGCCTCTATTTCACAGATAAATATAATGTATTTTACATTCTCTCTAAAACAAGCCCTTCATCATGCAGATGCATGGTGTTAAGAAGAGAATCAAGAGTTTTTGATTAATTAGATAAATAAAAGGATAGGTCTGCTAAAAAAAAGAGCAGAAAAAAATATCCATTAACTTTTAAATAGCCAACCAGGTATTGCATTTTAACAGAAGCAGAAGACAGCAATAATGCACAACAAGTCATCGTTTAATAGAAGGCAAGAAAAAAACAGCTGAATCAAGTTAAAGTAGAATTACATGAAAATCCATTTAAACTTTATTGGCCAATTTGGTGCAAACAAACGAGCACTGTCATTACTTCTTATCAGGCCCCCAAAAACTCATGTGCAATCATCATTTATCAGTAGACCGATTCTCGATAAGGATGGGGAGGCAACTTATTACAATGAGAAACGCTTTGCTAATCACTTGATTGCGATCATATTTAAAGGTCTTGTGTTGTAAAATAAGGCAGGAGACAAGAGGACAAAGGTCAACAGATAGGAGGAATAAAAACAAAACAAAAAAACATAACAAAACAAGGCTCTCCTACCAGAGCTGTTGATATCTGCAGCTCCTCCAGAGTCTCTATGGCTGCTTCTCTAATTAGTCCTGTCCGTTAAGGCAGACTGGAGGGGATAGGGTACAATGTCTATTGGAAAATTATGGAATAAAATGATTCTTTAAGAGGGATTCAATTCATCTGGATATTAATTTGAATAAAAATGCAAACTTTTGCCTTTTAGAAATATTGCAAAATCTTTAATAATCCAAATGGGTCGTCGGTTCGTAGCATTCACTTCACATTAAACACATCTAGGCTGATAAAACAGATGGATACTTCTATTAGCTACATGGGTCCCATTTTTCAAGCTTGGGTGCATTATTACTTCCGATTGGATAAAAGTAAAAACTCATTAACCCTTTATAGGGCAAGTTACCATTTTTGATCACTTGCATACCCCTTACAAAGTGTTTTTCATGAATTTCTTACAGAAGCACCTTTGTTATTTTTCTTAATATATACGGACAAGTTGGCGTTTCTTGTAATTACATTGACATTCATTTATGCCATCAAAACATACATATTTTTGAACATTATAAAGGTAATAAGTTCTTGTCCTGGATTCCAAAAACACACACTGCAAAAAATGTAAATCTAAATAAGTCATTTTTTCTCAAAATAAGTGCATTTTTTTCTTGAATTGAGGGGGTAAGTGCGACACTTTGCCAATGGAACAAGACAATTTACATTTGAAATAAGAAAAAACTATTGCTTTGTCTTATTTTAAGTGCATATTTTCTAATTATCTTATTTTAAAGGAAAATTCCGGTTTTTAACACTTTTAGCCCATTTTCTGTAGTGTTGAGGATGAAATCGAATGATCGACACCAAAATTTTGACAATTGGTCCTGTCTCGGCTATTTGGCTCATGCAGAATCCCCCCCTGGCTGCTTCAGAATGGCTTCCATAGTGCATGTCCGATAAGGTCCTTAAAACAACCTTAAACGTTCTTTTTTTAAAATATGCTACTCACCGAGTCGTCAGCGCTGTTCAATGACGTTCCAAAAAAAGTTTCGTAAAGAAAAAACGTTCCTGTAGTGTTTTATTTAGCATTTTGTAAATCCCATTGAGTTCTGTTGGAATAGTCAATATCCCTCCGCCACCGGAAATGGAAATGGGGCCTGTTTACGCTTAGTTGTAGCCTTTTCGCAAGGCCCAAGTGTTTCTGCTTCACTCTGTGTACTCCGACGTGGAGGTGCTAACGTCTCTGTTAAACACTTTAAAAAACTCTGAAAATGGAATACGAAAGGTGGATTCTTGAGGAGGACATATTCATATACATTCCCAAAGTATAGAGACATTGTCGCCAACTAGTGGTCTGGAGTGTGCAACGCTTCAGATTCGAACGGGAAGCGGAAGTTTATAAGCGGTTGTGATGTATCGGAAAAAATAGTTCTGGGATTTACAAAATGCTAAATAAAACAAGACAGGAACGGTTTTTCTTCACGAAACTTTTTTTGGAACGTCATTGAACAGCGCTGACGACCCGGTGAGTAGCATATTTTAAAAAAAGAACATTTAAGGTTGTTTTAAGGACATTATCTGACATGCACTATGCAAGCCATTCTGAAGCAGCCAGGGGGGGATTCTACATGAGCCAAATAGCCGAGACAGGACCAATCGTCAAAATTTTGGTGTCGATCATTCGATTTCATCCTGGACACTACAGAAAAGGGGCTAAAAGTGTTAAAAACCGGAATTTTCCTTTAAGTGTAAAAATACTCATTCCATTGGCAAACAAATCTTATTTTCCTGCTCAAATTAAGGGTAAATATACTTGATTTAATAAATTTTTACTAAATTTCAGATCGTTTTTGCAGTGCACTACAAAAATGATGTTTAAATTTGTGAAAATGTCTTAAAATAAGTGTATTTACCCTTAATTTGAGTTGGTAAATAAGAAAATCTCCCAGCTGAAGGAGCATTTTTATCCTTAAAATCTAATTATTTGATATTATGCTCTTGTAATATGCTTATTTTAAATGGACATTTTCTTATTCCATTTGCAAAGTATCTTACTTACCTTCTCAGTTCAAGAAAAAATGCACTTATTTTAAGAAAACCTGACTTACTTAGATTTCAGTTTTTTGCAGTGTAATGTTTGCTTGAAATGTAGATGTTTAAAGTGAATGCCCTATAAAGGGTTAATCTAATATTTGGTTATAAATAAAGCAACAAACCAAACTTCCTTTCTGAATCTTTCTACAAACCCTGATGTCGCTTTTATCGTCTCGTCTGAGAGTCCTAACTAATACCCGGAGTGACCCTTGAACCCACCTCTCCATTAGATAATGTAAATGACCAGCTTTCCTGGGCCTCAGCCAGTGGGTGTGTGCACCTTTACCTGGCCTCAGCTGTTCTGTCGGTCCCTCTGATGGCATAGCCCTGCCTGTGCTGCTTTTTTCCTGCTGCCGGCAACACAAACGCAGTCGAGCTGCAGCACACGCCGCAGATACAGAGACGGGAGAACAGGCAGCCAAGAGACAGGCACACTCAGAGGAAGGAGGGAGACAAACACCGCCATGGGCTGCTGTAACAGAAGGTGCGGGTTGATAGCCGGAGCTGTGGTTGGGGTTTTGGTGGCCATCCTTGGAGGCATCCTCATTCCTGTGGGCGACAACATCATCAAGGGAACTGTGAAGCAGGTATGGAGTTCAGTTTCACCCTGACTTAGAGGGTAGGGAGTGACAGGGCGTCTCAGTGTGTGACTGAGTGTGAGTGTGTGAGTGGAGATCAAGGTGAATCAGGAGAAAACAGAGAGACGAGGCGTATGCTTTTGTTAAAAGCTGCTTGAAACTGCAAAAAAATGAGTGATAAGTATGACTCATTTGATCCGTCAAAAGATTCCCCATCTGTGAGTCTTTTACGGGAAATTTCTTTATATGAGAGCTCTCCGATTTCCTTTAAAAGAGAGCATCCACCTTCTTTAATGTGTCAGAGATGCTGGCCTGCTGGCAGCCTTGAGTCCCGTTAAAAATAGCTTGTCTGTGTGTCTGCGGGGTGTAGGAAGCCGTCATTGAGCCAGGGACGACAGCTTACGAGAACTGGGCGGCTGCAGGGGTAAAGGTGTATCGGCAGTTCTGGCTCTTCGAGGTGATGAATCCACTGGAGGTTTTGGATTACGGTGCAGCTCCAGTGGTGATAGAGAGAGGACCTTACACCTACATGTGAGCTTTATTTATCGTCTCCCTATCTTTGAAACTGATTTGATCTAAAACTAATGGAAGAAAAACATGGTTCCCTTTACTTTTTAATTAGTTTCTTGAGGCATCTTGTCATTTCCTTCTTTTAGGACAAGATATCTTGCAAAAGACAACGTCACGTTCCACGAGAATGACACCGTCTCCTTCCTGCTCCCCAACGGTGCCATCTTTGAGCCCTCCATGTCAGTGGGAACAGAAGAAGACAACATCACCTCTCTGAACCTGGCAGTGGCTGTATGTATCACAGCCGACGTGTTTTTATTTCTAATTTCATGCAGCTCTGCCGCTAATATGCAATGAGGCTTTGATTTCAAAGTCTGTCAGAAGAAACCCGAAAATAATCTCTGCTTAGTTGCAGCAAGCTGCTTTTGTTTTCTCATTTCTGACATCTGACGGAGTATTTACAGAGGGTTTAAAATTTTTTTTCTTCTTTGTTTATCTCTAAAACGTTGGAAACATCCAAGATAGAGAAAAAAAAATACCACACACAAATGAATCAAATGAAACGTGTCATTTTTATAAATATTGTGATACTTGAGTTTGTCTTGTTTATAGAAAAGAAGATAAATAGGATGCATGCTTTAAAAAAAAAACCCAGTCAAGTTTGATTAAGGAAAATGGTCGGGTTAAAAAAAGAAAACCCAAAACAGCAGTCAGAAATAACAAGGAGAATGTTTTAAGGCAAATGAAAATTAGAAAAACGTGGATCCAATTTTAGCTCGTTACCATGCACACTGTAGGTAAGTCATTTGTGAAATAAATGTAAAAAATAAAACACTAAAGCTCCTAGTCAGTAGCTAAGCACGGAGGAGGGTGTATCATGAGGAGGGTCTGATTATCTCCCTAAAACCACAATAAAGTACATGGAATTTGTTGTTTTTGTTACCAAGTCAACACAGAAATGGCTTCATGGACATAAAAAAGCTTTTAGTCAACAGACTTAAATCCTGTGGGAAACCTGGTTGGTTCAGAGACTTTGCTAAAAGAAAAACAGTTGAAAATCCCTCCACCTATATTAGAGGTATAGGAGAAGACTGGAATATTTGCAAACAATAAAGTCACATGCTTACTGAGTAATTACTGTGGATTATTACGTGCATTTGTTACATGTGCAAATATAACTTTATGGCTTTAAGTCTTAGTAATAATTAATTTTTTTTACAGTACAGTGTTTATTTCTTTTTATTTTTTGCTGCTTAGAGTTATAATACATGTATAAGGCTGGGGCTATAAACTTTAATTAACAAGCCTGACAGATATATATATATATATATATATATATATATATATATATATATATATATAAATATATATACGCTTTCCACTGATCTCAAATAAGTGCAGCTTGCAGAATAACAACTTTTAAAACAAACTTTGTTAGTTATTGCACTGCAAAAAATGTAAATCATGTAATCAAAGTCATTTTTTCTTAAAATAAGTGCATTTTATCCTGAATTGAGGAGATAAATGAGACACCTTGCCAATGGAGCAAGACAATTTACATTTGAAATAAGAAAAATCAGTTGTATTGTCTTATTTCAAGTGCATGTTATCTAATTAACTTATTTTAAGTGTAAAAATACTCATTCCATTGGCAAACTATCTTATTTACCTGCTCAAATTAAGGGTAAATACACTTGATTTAAGAAATTTTTACTTGATTTCAGATTGTTTTTTCAGTGTGGGTGACTTTTTTTTATACACTGCAAAAAATTGAAATCTAAGTAAGTTTATTTTTCTTTAAAAAACTGCATTTCTTTCTTGAATTAAGCAGTTAAGTGATACACTTTGCTAATTGAATAAGGCAATTTACATCTAAAATAAAAAAAAAACAATTGCGTTGTCTTATTCCAAGTGGATATTATCTAATTATCTTATTATCTTATTTTAAGAGTAAAAATACTCATTCCATTGGCAAATCTTATTATTTACTTGCTTGAATTATGCTAAATACACTAATTTTAAGACATTTTTACTCGTTTCCGGGTCGTTTTTGCAGTGTACAAATGTTAGATTTGAATTGAAATCATATAAGTCTTGAGGGGAATTGAAAAAGTTGAGGATCAGTTGCCGAAGCGCTAAAGCAAAACAATGACAGAAGGTGTTTACAACAGTGAAAGGATCGATTTTACTCCTTTATCTTCGCCAGCTGTCTCCAGTGAACACACCTTCCGCAGAGCAGAGAGAGGCTGGACAAAAATATGAATCTAAGAGTGGATTTAAACTTGTTATCCAGCTGCTCTTTGACCTATTTATCTACTGCATCTCACAGGATGGACTTTGTAGCTTTTTATTCCACCTCATCTTTTTCCAACAATAAAGCGCGCTGCAAGAAAAGCTTTCTGGCTGGTCCCCGTTTGGCTAATTTTCCTCCTCACTGCTCCCTTTGGTTTGGTCCAAAGCAAAAAACTGCATTAAAATGTGTTTTAATGGCGTCAAGAACTAGTTTTAAAGCTTGATATTCTGCATTGTGATTACAGCGGTTCATTGGTCCAGCTTTGAAGTAAAAAAAAAAAAAACAGACTTATATCTCCTAATTGAACACAGTCTCTGTTTTTATTGACAGAGCGCAGATTTCCTTCAAACTTTGATAAGAGGAAAACAATAAGCGGGCGTCTCTGCTCTAATTGTCGAGATATCAGATCCATATAAGAAGATTATTTTTCAAATGTATCAAAGAGGCAACTACCTCTCTGGATTCATTTCCTTTACTATATTAAAACTGCTTGTTTTTGCTTGTCTTGTCTTTCAGGGAGCTTATTCTGTGGTACCACCAGAATTACATATATTGATAGACAAAATGATATATTCCACCAATTCGTCCCTGTTCCAGCGCCGAACAGTGAAAGAGCTGCTTTGGGGCTACAACGATCCCATCCTGAAACAATTTGTGGGCTTCTTCCCAGATGTGAGTAAAGTCTCCCAAAATAGGGAAAAAAATTGGTAAAAGATCCAAAGAGAGTTTCTAGAAAGACTCGATTGTTAGTTTACCAAACCTGTTTGGTATTTTCTAGAAAGTTCCAAATGGCTTTCCCATAACTTATCAGGTATTCCAAGAACTTACTTGGAATACTTAAAATTTTATTCTGTAAGTTTAAGGAAATCTTTTGAATTTAACCTTGCAACTTTCAGAAGAGAACCTGGTCAGATCATGTAAAGTTTAAGAAAAAAGTTTCGGAAAGTATTTTGTAAATTTTTTTTAAAACTTGCTATGTGTTGGGTTCTGAGAAAGTAACTAATAATTTCTTAGAATTGTTTTGTAAGCTTTCATGAAGCTGCATATCATCACTTAGAAAGAATCTGATGAGTTAATAAACTAGTAAGTTTTAGCAATGGCGTAACGACACAACAATAGTCCCATAAGCAACATTATCTGCGTGCGCCCCATATGAAGTACAACACTCTGGATTACCCATAATTCCAAGTAGTAGTGTAAAAAATAAAATACTCAAATCTATATTCCAGTTTGAAATTTGGTATTTTTCACCAACTGTCTCATGAACTGTACACAGTTATTAACATAGTAATTAAAAGCAGTGTTGGGCACGTTACTTTGAAAAAGTAATTAGTTATAGTTACTAGTTACTTCTCCCAAAAAGTATTTGAGTTAGTAACTGAGTTACTATACAATAAAAGTAACTAGTTACTAGTAAAAGTAACTATTGCGTTACTTTTGCGAGTGTATGAAATTAATAAGTGGGGATGTGTAATTCTGAAATCCTGTGTTTGGGTTGTTATAGATACTGCAAAATGTAGCTATATCTATCTATATCTATTCCATCCTTCCATCCATCCATCCATCCATCCATCCATCCATCCATCATCCATCCATCCATCCATCCATCCATTATCCATCCATCCAACCATCCATCCATCATCCATCCATCCATCCATCC